GTGGGTTTGGTTGGATTTTTCTTAAATTTTCATATCAAAGACCCCGTCTACTTTGGAGAAAAGTTATACGGTTGGTGCATATAACCTCGAAAATCGTTCCTATGGAGACAACTACAGTTCTCTCTTTTGGGGGGGGGGGTAGGTATTGTATGTTATCCACTTTGCTTCTTTCCTGTTGCTCCAACTGTTGAGCTCTTCTAGCCGAGGTGATGCTCACTACACACAACTAGTTGTTATCTGAACTTGCTGACTTAAAAAGACACTGCATTCCAAGATAGATGCTGCTTTTATAAAACCACATCTTCAAAATAAATGTCTCAGATCTTTTATCCCTATGAATTCTCCACAATAAAGCAGTGGAAAAGAAGAAAAAAAAAGTAAAGGAAATAAAATGGATTCTTTCTGACTTCTGGAGCATGGCCTCCTGGAGTAGTGCCAAGACTTGTAGACTTTCTGCCATTTATTTTCACAGAGCCCTTTCAAAGCAGAGAGAGAAATTTGAGGGCACTTATGGTGAGGTGGTTGGTTAAAAACAAAGGAAAATTGCTGGTCATACGCTTAATGGCCTAACCTGCTCGTAACAAATAATTTTAAAAACCTAGTGATAAGACTGGAGGATTTTCAAAAAATAGAAGTCTCTTAGCCCATGCTGTTCAAGTTGGGTTCTCATTGTTTGACTGTTTACAGAACAGGAAGCAAGAGGAAAATGCTTATAAGTGTATTCTAGTCTTTCTTCTGCTTACTAGCTGAGTGACCTTAGACAAACTTCCTGACCATTCTAAGCTCAGTTTCTTCATACAAAAATAAAGATAATTATTGTTGTTGTTAAGTGCCATTGAGTTGGTTCCAACTTCTAGCGACCCTCTACAGGGTTTCTGAGGAGCAGCTGGTGGGTTTGAGCTCTTGACCTTGTGGTTAGCAGTCCAGTGTTGATCCTACAGTGCCACACTAGAAGTCATTTTGCCAATTTGAGGACCACGGTGCCCCTGACCCAGTCATGGTATTTTCAGTCACCTCGTATGTATGTGAAAGTTTGACAATGATTAAGGAAGACCATAGAAAATGGATGCATTTGAGTTATGGTGTTAGAGAAGAATATTAAAAGTACCATGGATTGCCAGAAGAACAAACAAATACGTGTTGGAGAAAGAACAGGAGGGCCCAGTCTCTGAGAAAGACATCATGGTTGGTAGAGTAGAGGGATGGAAAATCCCCAATGAGATAGATTGGCACAGTAGCAGTAGCTATGGGTTCGAACAGAACAACAATTGTGAACATGGTGTAAGACTCGGCAGTGTTGTACATAGAGTCACTATGAGTTGAAATCAACTTGACAGCACTTAAATAAGAACAACATCATTTTTTTCAAGACTTATAGTAACATAGATCCAGTGGTAGAATTCTCATCTCCTCATCTTCTAAGTCTATTCCTGGCCAGTGCACCTGATATTTAGCCACCATTGTTACTGGAGGCTTGGTGTTGAACCAGTTTTAGCTGTAGTTGTTATGTTGTATGCTGTGATGTTGAACCAGTTTTAGCTGCAGTTGTTATGTTGTATGCTGTGATGTTGAACCAGTTTTAGCAAAGCTTCTAAACTAAGACAGAATAATAACAAGGCCAGCACATCCACTCCTGAAAACCTTCTTACCCAGTGAAATCCCTATGAAAACAAAGATCCTATCTGCATATGATCTTGGGGATAATGCAAGACCACACAGCATTTACTCCACTGCACATGGGAACACCATGAATGAGACCCCAATGCAACTGCAGCTAACAACAACAACATACTGGTGTGTGTGTGTTCCTTCAATTTCACCACCCTCCTGGGTAAGTGAGAATTCTTGCCTGTATTTACATGTGAGGAGATTGAGGCTCAGAGGATGCATTGTCCAGGGTTTCACAGTTAAGATGTAGCTGGGCTGAGACGGAGCACTGTCCACTTGACTCCACAAGTTTTTTATGTTGTCGGCTAACAGGAACCAGGGAGATAGTGAGGGTCAGGGAGCTCCACCTTCTTCAGGCATCTTCTAATTCCTTTTCTTACCTGTGTGCCAAAGATGTGCCTGACCCAAGCCATGGCACTTTCAATAATCTCGTATGCATTGCAAGTTGGATGATGAATAAGGAAGACCATAGAAAAATTGATGCATTTGAGTTACGATGTTGGAGGAGAATATTGAAAGTACCATGGACTGCCAGAAGAACAAACAAATCTGTATTGGAAGAAATACAGCCAGAATGCTCTTTTGAAGCCAGGATGGCCAAACTGAGGCTCTCATAATTCAGACATATTATTGGAAGGGACCAGTCCCTGGAGAAGAACATCATGCTTGGTAAAGTAGAAGGTCAGTGAAAAAGAGGAAGACCCTCAATGAGATGGATTGGCACAGTGGCAGCAGCAATGGACTCAAACATAGCAACAGTTGTGAGGTTGGCGCAGGACCGGGCAGTGTTTCATTCTGATGTGCATAAATTCACTGAGTCGGAACGGACATAACAGCACCTAACCACAACAACATCCATTTATGTTAATAAATAAAGCATCTCTTATAAAACTAGGAACATAAGTTTCTTAAACTGGAAGATTATCAAAAACCTAAGTCAGTTGTCATATTGAATGGTACAAGGTTAACAGATTTTTAAGTTCAGGAGCAAGACAAGGATGCTTGCACTCATAATTTTGAGTAAACATCATACTAAGGGCCCTGTTGTGGTTGCTGTTAGATACCTTTGTGTCATGCTCAAATCATAGTGACTCTATTTACAACACTACAAAATGTTGGCTGGCCCTGCACCATCCTTACAATTGTCCTATTTGAACCCATTGTTATAGCCCTTGTACCAGTCCATCTTGTTGAGGGTCTTCCTCTTTTTCTCTGAACCTCCACTTTACCAAGGATGATGTCCTTCTCCCGGGACTGGTCCCTCCTGATAACATGTCTAGAGTATGTGATACAAGTATTCTGGCTGTACTTCTTCTAAGACAGATTTGTTTGTTCTCCTAATAGTCCATGGTATAGTTAATGCTTTTACCAACACCATAATTATGGATTATGACTTATGACATTTATCTGTTTTATGACATAGCACCACCACCCACTCATCTTTCAATGTGTCATACTGTGGTGGTTTGCATGTTACTGTGATGCTGGAAGTCATGCCACTAGTATTTTAAATGCCAGAAGGGTCACCATGGAGGACAGGTTTCAGCAGAGCTTCCAGAATAAGACAGACTAGGAAGAAGGAGAGATGGACTATTTCTGAATGTCTGGTCACTGAAAACCTTATGAAGAGCAATGTAATGCTGTCAGATAGCACCAGAATATTGACTATTATAATATGATGAAGAGCAGCAGAATGCTGTCAGGCATAGTGCTGGAAGATGAGCCTCTCAGGTAGGTAGGCATCAGAATACAACTGGGGAAGAGCTGCCTCCTCAAAGTAGAGTTGGCCGTGATGACACAAATGCAGTAAAGCTTTCGAGACCTTCATTTACTGATGGACACAACTCAAAATGAGGAGAAACAGCTGCAACTATCCATTGATGAAAAACTGTAAATCTTGGAAAATTAGAAGTTGTCAAAAATGGAATGGGATGCACAAAGATGGATATTCTAGGCATTAGAGAGCTGAAATGGACTGGTATTGACCATTTTGAATTTAATTAGTTTACTATGTCAGGGAGGACAAATTGAAGAGGAGTGGCATTGCATTCATGATCAAAAACACCATTTCAAGATGTGTCTTGAAGTATAATGCGGTCTGTTATACAATAATATCCATATACCTACAAGGAAACCTTAGTGTGGTGCTGAAGAATAAGTATTGGACTGCAAGGTCAGTTTGAACCACAAGATTGGTGCTCCTCGGAAACCCTATACAGAGTCGGATCAGACTCAAAGGCACTTAACAACAAGGAAGACCACTGTTATTCAAATTTACATACCAACTTCTAAAGCCAGAAATGACGAAATTGAAGAATTCTACCAACTTCTGTAGTCTGAAAGCTCCAAAAAGTTCATGGAAAAAATTGTATGCTTTTTTGAATGCCATTTTTCCATGAAGCATTCTCATATGTAAAGTGATGAGAAAAATCATTGGTACTTGGCAACCACTGTGTGTGTTCATTATCATCACCACTATCACCACCATTACTACCATCACCACCATCATTAACACCAGCAGCAGCAATACATTCACCACAGCAACACCACCATCGCTACCAGCATCACTGGCAGCCACTGCAGCCAATAACAGAGATAGGGTGAGAATCCACATAGATTTCAATGACAGGTCTGGAAGGCAGTGAGAATCCTCCTCTGATACACTGCCTTGGCTTCCCTCACAAGGTTGGAATTTTAGACCCTCCTGGATATTAACCTATTTGTTACTGTCACATTCCTTTCTCACAGCTTACTGTCCCCTCCCCTCCGGGAGTGCAATCTGCACTCCACCAGCTCAAGGTCCCTTACACCCTGGGAGTAACTCCCTCTTTCCCCTTCAGACAAAGAGAGATGTTACTGAAGACATCTGCGTGCTAGACACTTTCTCTTCTCTGGTTTTCCTCCTCCCAACTTGTCTGTTTCTTCTGAGTTTTAATTAACAAGTCACAACTAAGTCCTTCAGCTACATGGCCTCTGAGCACATACACAAGGGAGAAATTAACCAGGGCTGTAATGATAAGGAACAATGATTAAGAAGGGTTAAAAAATATATATCTAAAAACCTATTAAAATCCTTCTCTCACTATCACCACCTCTACTATTCCCATGGTCACCATCAGCACCATCCTAAGAATTCCACCTCCCAGCCATACCTTGTGGATTCAGTGATACAGAACATGGTAACATGCAAGCAGGTTGTGCAGTGTGTTGGCAATGGTGCTGTAGTATAGTACTGTCAGAGCACCCGAGTGCTCCCTTCTTTCAGAAGACAGATGGCACACCAACCAGAGTGGGAAGACAGATTTCTCACCAGTGCCATGTTTTCTCCACAGGCATCGCCCTCAGTGCACTCCCCATGTACCTAGGTGAGATCTCACCCAAGGAAATCCGCGGCTCTCTGGGGCAGGTGACTGCCATCTTCATCTGCATTGGTGTGTTCACTGGACAACTTCTGGGCCTGCCTGAGCTGTTGGGAAAGGTAAGTGTGGCTCCTGGGCCAACCACATCCATTTTCTAAGTCTTCCTCTAAAAACTTGTCCCATGTCTGGGTATTATTGGACCTTCAAGCCTATGACTTGGAGAAAAGTTGTTGGCGTGCTCCCTTTCGGGCATCTTTTCAAGGTGCTTAGATGTTCCTCACTCTGGGGTTCTTATACATTAATAAATAGATAATTGCAGTGTATTTGTTTGGGAAATAGGTAGACCGGAATTTGAGTTCCAGTTTGTCTTAGGCAGGGTTTTCTCAAGAAGCAAAACCAATGAAATAGATAGATAGATAGATAGATAGATAGATAGATAGATAGATAGATAGATAGAGATAAAGAGAGAGAGAGAGAGATAAGTTTATTATCAAGGAAGAATTTACAACTGCAGAATCGCAGACCCCAGCGGAAGAGAGAAAGGAGAGAGCCCCTCTCATATGTCCATTGTGTTGGGACAGGACACCCCCCCAAGGAAGCATCCTTTCAATTGACTGGCTGCTCATCATAGATCTAAGTATGCCTGTATTAGGTTTCATCACCATGGGAATAAGCACATCTCAACTGCTAACCTTTAAAAATCCTGGCCTTGTGAAGTTGACACAGAACTCTAACCATTACACACTTCAAACATTTATCAGCTTTGTAGTTGTGGTACGGCTGGATTCTTTTATATGGCCCTTTGCCTTAACTCTCTGGAAGAACAGCTTGGGAGATTTTTCTTTTCTTTAAGTCTTGAAGAGTTGTTACCTTTGTCCTTGTTCTTTGGAAAAGCAACTTGGGAGTAAGGAGGTACCCAGGTTGTTTTACCAGAGGGTTTACTACTTTTCTCAAGGGAATTCCCTGGATTGCTTGGCTTTTCCTGGTACTTAACAACTTGGTGTTTTGATACTTTTGTCTGGTAATTAACAAGACCTGACTTGATTGACAGCTCATTGATAATTGAGGATGGGTGGAACTCTAGTGATGGAGGCCCTGCTTTGTCACGGATGAGGAATGGCTGAACTATAGAGGGTTACTAGGTCTCCTGGTTGAGAGAGATGCTAAGAGATGGGCTGGTAAAGAAGCAGGGCTGCATAGACACCAAGTGGTCCCAAGGCTGTTACATTGACTGTGAATGGAGCCAGGCAGTGGAGGAGCCAATGGAAGGCAAGAGAACTGAGCAAGTCTGATGGCACAGAGCCCTGGAGGAGGCAAAGTGTTGCTAGGGAGCAGCATCTAAGAGACCTGCATGAACTGCTACGGCAGCTGTGAATGGGCCAGTTAGTGGTGGGGAAGCTAGAAGTGGAGAAGTCTATGGAGAGAACCCAACAGCGGAGAGGTCTAATGATGGAGAGAGCTGGGAACGCTGTCCTGGTTGGAAGCCATCCTGCATTGAAGAACTTTTCCAGACCTTGCCTGTGTGTTTCCTGATCACAGTCCCAAGTTGTTCCTGATCTCGAGTTTTAGACTGTTACTTCCCTAATAAACCACATGGCCATTGCGATGGATTATTGAACACAGCAGAGCAGTGGAGAGTGCCATGTAGGGAATGGCTGGAGTCAGAGATGATGAAGAAGTTGGGGAGTGGAGGTATGTGTGACCCCCCCACACACACTTCATAGGAACCAGCTTTGTGTTGCTCCTGATACTTATTCCTCATGAATTTAAACTTTTTTTTTTTTTTTTAATGTAACATTACAGTGGCCTTGGGCAAGCTGCTTTATGTCTCTGAATCTAATTTTTCTATTCCGTGCAATAGATGTAAGAAGAGCTATTCAAAAGAGTGTGTGTGAAAAAAACAAACAAACAAAGAGTGTGAAGTGGCAGTTGGGATAGAGAAGAGGGAGTGGGTTCAAGTCCACAGGACTTGCTGCCTGATTATCCAACCAAAATTCTCATTATGCCATCGAAGTTCTCACAGTTATGTTGTGACTAGCTTGTTTCTGCAGCCATGGAAACTGAAGCTGAAGAGGTGAGGTACAGAACAAATCAAACCTATTGGAGCAGAAACCAGAACCTGGGTTTGTGTGCTTTCACTTGTGTGTAGATGACACTTGTCATCTACAGACAGGAATTGGTGGTGGTAGTACAAGTGCCATAGAGTCAGTTCTAACTCATAACAACCCTGTATAGGCTTTCCAAGGAGTAGATGGTGGATTTGAACTGTTGGCTTTGGTTCACAGTCAAGTGCTGGTTCTATAGCACCACACACAGACAAGAATAGGCATAGATACTTTGCTAGGAGTGTTGGGGCTTCTGTAAGGTGAATCTGATTCTGTTCATTGGGTTCCAATATGTCCCAACTAGATAAACTCTATATGCCCTAGACCCCAGCACTTTCTTGTCCCATGAAAGGCTTTTGTTAGGTGCTGTTGAGTCCATTGAAAGCAACTCAATGGTGCCTAAAAACAATCACAACAGGGTCCCTAGTATGACATTTACTCAAAATTATGAGAGCAAGCATGCTTGTCTTGCTCCTGAACTTGGATGAAAATCTGATAACCTTGTACCATTCAATATGATAACTGATTTAGGTTTTTGATAATCTTTCTGTTTAAGAAACTTCTGTTCCTAGTTTTATAAGAGAAAATTTATTTAGTAACATAAATGGATGTTGTTGTTGTTGTTGTTGTTAGGTGCTGTTGAGTTGGTTCCAACTCATAGCAACCTTATGCAAAACAGAATGAAACAATGCCCAGTCCTGGGCCAACCTCACAATCATCATTAAGCTTGAGCCCATTGCTGCTGCCACTGTGCCAATACATTTCATTGGGGGTCTTCCTCATTTTCACTGACCCTCCACTTTACCAAGCATGATGTCCTTCTCTGGGGACTGGTCCCTCCTGGTAATATGTCAGAAGTATCAGAGACTCAGTCTGGCCATTCTGACTTCTAAGGAGCATTCTGGCTACACTTCTTCCAACACAGATTTGTTTGTTCTTCTGGTAGTCCATGATACTTTTAATATTCTTCTCCAACAGCATAACTCCAATTCTCCATACTTATTCATTGTTGAACTTTCACATGTATATGAGACTATTGAAAATACCACGGTTTGGGTCAGGCACACCTTAATCCTCAAACGGATACCTTTGCTCTTCAACGCTTTAAAGAGGTTTTTAAAGTGCAACAGATTTGCCTAATGCAATACATTGTTTGATTTCTTGACTGCTGCTTCAATAAGTATTGATTCAAGAAAAATGAAGTGTTCAACAATTTCAATAATTTCTCCATTTATGCTATTTATTAGTCCATTTGTGAGGAGTTTTGTTTTCTTTACATTGAGATGCAGCCCATACCAAATGCTGTGGTCTTTGATCTTCATCAACAAATATTTTAAGGCTTTACTCATGGAGAAATGATGGCAGGATAAAGGGAGGTTGGCACACATCACTTTTTGAATTTCAGCCTATTAAGGTCACCGCAGAGGCAGCAGCTTCTAATCCTTTATTGTCAACCCTTTTGGTTTATGACAGCTACAATTATGTGTTTTTCCCTATCAAACATACAAGCAATTCACACTTCACATCTTCAGTTGCCATATTCATGACAATTTCTATAATTAGTGCAAGTGTAATGAAAACAGTCTCCTTTTAACATTAAAAAAAAAATCTTGTATTTTTTTCCTTTTTAAGATATTCAAAAGTTCTAAAAAAAATCACTATGCATGTGCTAATAAAAACAACATCACAATTTACAGCCTCTGCTCTTCAGACATTAAAATATACTTAGAAGTTCATGAACAATGCTAGAGCCTTCTAGGAATAACAAAATAAATACATATCGACATTGATACAGGCTAAACTTTCTTTTTCTGGATGACTTTCTAAATTCCTCATCACTCATCAGATTCTTCTTTTGTGCATAAATATTAGGTTCTTTCCGCTGCTTGAATCCCCTAGGTCTACCTTGAACCTCTGTCTCTTCTTTTGCTTCATTCATTCCATACATGTGTTAAGTGCAGAATTGGATGCTTTGAGCATGGCTGGCTGAACTATGACCTTGGGCAAATTATCTCACCTGTTTGAACCAGTGTCCTCTTCTGTAGCAAACATGATCTTAAGTCTCAACCTTCCAAGTCCCACATGAGTGTGACTTCTTCAAGAAAAACATCACCACAAATGGTGACTCTACTTAACGTGTCCTCAGAGCACCTTGCTCAGGTGTCTCCCATGGTATTATATTGGTTTGTTGCTGTACGTTTTCCTTCCACTAGGTAGTGCTATTCTGATGTGTCTCTGTATAGGAAGTTGGAGGTACAAGTTTACTCAATCATTCAGCAAATACTTAGGAAATTCCTACGATGTGTCAAGAGGTCCCTGGATGGGATGATGCAAAACCATAACTGCTGAGCTCTTAGTCAAAAGATTGGTGGTTCGAACCCACCAACTGGTCTGTCTTAAAAGACAGACCAGGAGAACTGCCTTCCAAAAGGTCCCAACCTTGAAAACCCTATGGAACCGTTCTACTCTGTACACACGGGTTCACCACGGTTCAGCACTGACTCAATGACAACGACTCACCAGGTGTTGGATGGTTGCTGGTGACCGAGCAGTGAGACACACAGATTTTGTCCCTCCTCTTGTTGAGCTCACATGAAGACAGCTCACCAACCATTGATCACCAGTGTGGTGAAGAAAAAGGTGGGTCACCAACCTGGAGTAGGGTGTCAGGGGCCATTTCCCCATGGAAGTGACATTTAAACCCATGCCTTGAAGAAGTACTGATCCAGGTCAGGACTGGTGGGGAAGGGAAAGGCAGAAAGTGGGAAGAGGGGTACAAGGCAGAGAAGGTAGTGCATGTGAAGTTCAGGGGCAGTAAAACCAGGGGACTGGAGCAGTGTGAATGGGAAAGACAAAGGTAGGCAGGGGTCAGATCCTGCCAGGCAAGTAGAACACACCCATGGAGGCTGGCCAAGATGAGGGGCCATGGTGGGAACTATGGCAGCCGGGGGCGGTGTGCACTGTCCAATGAGGGCAGCTGCTACTGTTTCCATGAAACTGGCCTCAAGGAGACA